ACAAAATAGAGCAAGATATGATCGCATCAAATTCTACCCGAGTTCGGAGTGAAATCAGAAACATTTGTTTATATATGATTAATTTGTAACTTTTAATTAATGCATTGTAAATGAAGTTGGAACAATAGCTTTAGATCTCCGATCTATCTTTCCAACGAGATATAATACGCCCCAAACGGATAAACACACAGCAGCATATGAGTGTCACAAATACTTAGCCTTATCTCTATGATTTAGCGTTTTCAGCTAAAATAGAGCACTTTTAGCGTAAATACAGTGTATTTTAGTAATTAAGCAATAATCCCTTGATTTTTTGAAACCAGCACCTGAAGACAAGTTTTAGAACTCGGTATGATCTTTTAAACGAGATATTAAACGCTTTCAATAGCACAACAAAGAGCAAGATGTGATCACATCAAATTCTACACGAGTTCAGAGTGAAATCAGAAACATTTGTGAATATATGGTTAATCTGTAACTTTTAATTAATGCATTGTAAATGAAGTTGGAACAATAGCCTTAGAGCTCCGATCTATCTTTCCAACGAGATATAATACGCTCCAAACGGATAAACACACATCAATCTCTATGATTTAGCGTTTTCAGCGAAAATAGAGCACTTTTAGCGTAAATACAGTGTATTACTATTTTTAGTACTATTATTATTACTATTATTATTATTATTATTCTTATTATTATTATTATTCTTATTCTTATTATTATTATTATTATTATTATTATTATTATTATTATGATTATTATCATCATCATTATTATTATTATTATTATTAGTATTATTATTATTATAATAATAATAATAATATTATTATTATTATTATTATTATTATTATTATTATTATTATTATTATTATTATTATTATTATTATTATTATTATTATTATTATTAGCTCCGATCTATCTTTCCAACGAGATATAATACGCTCCAAACGGTTAAACACACAGCAAGATATGAGTGTCACAAATACTTAGCCTTATCTCTATGATTTAGCGTTTTCAGCGAAAAAAGAGCACTGTTAGCGTAAATAAAGTTTATTTTAGTAATTAGGCAATCATCCCTTGATATTTTGAAACCAGCGCCCAAAGACATGTTTTAGAACTCGGTAAGATCTTTCCAATGAGATATTAAATGCTTTCAATGGCACAAAATAGAGCAAGATATGATCGCATCAAATTCTACTCGAGTTCGGAGTGAAATCAGAAACATTTGTGAATATCTGGTCAATCTGTAACTTTTAATTAATTCATTGTAAATGAAGTTAGAACAATAGCTTTAGAACTCCGTTCTATCTTTCCAACGAGATATAATACGCTCCAAAGAGATAAACACACAGCAAGATATGAGTGTCACAAATACTTAGCCTTATCTCTATGATTTAGCGTTTTCAGGGAAAATAGAGCACTTTTAGCGTAAATACAGTGTATTTTAGTAAATAGGCAATAATCACTTGATTTTTTGAAACCAGCGCCTGAAGACAAGTTTTAGAACTAGGTAAGATCTTTCAAACGAGATAATAAACGCTTTTAACGGCACAACAAAGAGCAAGATATGATCGCATCAAATTCTACACGAGTTTGGAGTGAAATCAGAAACATTTGTGAATATATGGTTAATCTGTAACTTTTAATTAATGCATTGTAAATGAAGTTGGAACAATAGCTTTAGAGCTCCGATCTATCTTTCCAACGAGATATAATACGCTCCAAACGGATAAACACACATCAATCTCTATGATTTAGCGTTTTCAGCGAAAATAGAGCACTTTTAGCGTAAATACAGTGTATTACTATTTTTAGTACTATTATTATTACTATTATTATTATTATTCTTATTATTATTATTATTATTCTTATTATTATTATTATTTTTATTATTATTATTATTATTATTATTATAATTATTATTATTATTATTATTATTATTATTATTATTATTATTATTATTAGCTCCGATCTATCTTTCCAACGAGATATAATACGCTCCAAACGGTTAAACACACAGCAAGATATGAGTGTCACAAATACTTAGCCTTATCTCTATGATTTAGCGTTTTCAGCGAAAAAAGAGCACTGTTAGCGTAAATAAAGTTTATTTTAGTAATTAGGCAATCATCCCTTGATATTTTGAAACCAGCGCCCAAAGACATGTTTTAGAACTCGGTAAGATCTTTCCAATGAGATATTAAATGCTTTCAATGGCACAAAATAGAGCAACATATGATCGCATCAAATTCTACTCGAGTTCGGAGTGAAATCAGAAACATTTGTGAATATCTGGTCAATCTGTAACTTTTAATTAATTCATTGTAAATGAAGTTAGAACAATAGCTTTAGAACTCCGTTCTATCTTTCCAACGAGATATAATACGCTCCAAACAGATAAACACACAGCAAGATATGAGTGTCACAAATACTTAGCCTTATCTCTATGATTTAGCGTTTTCAGGGAAAATAGAGCACTTTTAGCGTAAATACAGTGTATTTTAGTAAATAGGCAATAATCACTTGATTTTTTGAAACCAGCGCCTGAAGACAAGTTTTAGAACTAGGTAAGATCTTTCAAACGAGATAATAAACGCTTTTAACGGCACAACAAAGAGCAAGATATGATCGCATCAAATTCTACACGTGTTTGGAGTGAAATCAGAAACATTTGTGAATATATGGTTAATCTGTAACTTTTAATTAATGCATTGTAAATGAAGTTGGAACAATAGCTTTATAGCTCCGATCTATATTTCCAACGAGATATAATACGCTCCAAACTGATAAACACTCAGCAAGATATGAGTGTTACAAATACTTAGCCTTATCTCTATGATTTAGCGTTTTCAGCGAAAATAGAGCACTTTTACCATAAGTACAGTGTATTTTAGTAATTAGGCAATGCTCCCTTGATATTATGAAACCAGATCCTGAAGACAAGTTTTAGAACTCGGCAAGAGCTTTCCGACGAGATATTAAACGCTTTCAACGGCACAAAATAGAGAAAGATATGATCGCATCAAATTCTACACGAGTTCGGAGTGAAATCAGAAACATTTGTGAATATATGGTCAATCTGTAACTTTTAATTAATGCATTGTAAATGAAGTTGGAACAATAGCTTTAGAGCTCCGATCTATCTTTCCAACGAGATATAATACGCTCCAAACGGATAAACACACAGCAAGATATGAGTGTCACAAATACTTAGCCTTATCTCTATGATTTAGCATTTTCAGCGAAAATAGATCACTTTTAGCGTAAATACAGTGTATTTTAGTAATTAGGCAATCATCCCTTGATATTTTAAAACCAGCACGGGAAGACAAGTTTTAGAACTAGGTAAGATCTTTCCAACGACATATTAGACGTTTTCAACGGCACAAAATAGAGCAAGATATGATCACATCAAATTCTACACGAGCTCGGAGTGAAATCAGAAACATTTGTAAATATATGGTTAATCTGTAACTTTTAATTAATGCATTGTAAATGAAGTTTGAACAAAAGCTTTAGAGCTCAGATCTATCTTTCCAACGAGATATAATACGCTCCAAACGGATAAACACACAGCAAGATAAGAGTGTCACAAATACTTAGCCTTATCTCTATGATTTAGCGTTTTCAGAGAAAATAGAGCACCTTTAGCGTAAATACAGTGTATTTTAGTAACTGGGCAATCATCCCTTGATATTTTGAAACCAGCGCCTGAATACAAGTTGTAGAAAATGGTAATATCTTTCCAACGAGATATTAAACGCTTTTAATGGCACAAAATAGAGCAAGATATGATCGCATCAAATCTACACGAGTTCGGAGTGAGATCAGAAACATTTGTGAATATATGGTTAATCTGTAACTTTTAATTAATGCATTGTAAATGAAGTTGGAACAATAGCTTTAGAGCTCCGATCTATCTTTTCAACGAGATATAATACGCTCCAAACGGATAAACACACAGAAAGATATGAGTGTCACAAATACTTAGCCTTATCTCTATGATTTAGCGTTTTCAGCGAAAATAGATCACGTTTAGCGTAAATACAGTGTATTTTAGTAATTAGTCAATCATCCCTTGATATTCTGAAACCAGCCCCTGAAAACAAGTTTAAGATCTCGGTAAGATCTTTCCAACGAGATATTAAACAATTTCAACGACACAAAATAGAGCAAGATATGATCGCATGAAATTCTACACGAGTTCGGAGTGAAATCAGAAACATTTCTTTATATATGGTTAATTTGTAACTTTTAATTAATGCATTGTAAATGAAGTTGGAACAATAGCTTTAGAGCTCCGATCTATCTTTCCAACGAGATATAATACGCCCCAAACGGATAAACACACAGCAGGATATGAGTGTCACAAATACTTAGCCTTATCTCTATGATTTAGCGTTTTCAGCTAAAATAGAGCACTTTTAGCGTAAATACAGTGTATTTTAGTAGTTAGGCAATAATCCCTTGATTTTTTAAAACCGGCGCCTGTAGACAAGTTTTAGAACTCGGTATGATCTTTCAAACGAGATATTAAACGCTTTCAATAGCACAACAAAGAGCAAGATGTGATCGCATCAAATTCTACACGAGTTCAGAGTTAAATCAGAAACATTTGTGAATATATGGTTAATCTGTAACTTTTAATTAATGCATTGTAAATGAAGTTGGAACAATAGCTTTAGAGCTCCGATCTATCTTTCCAACGAGATATAATACGCTCCAAACGGATAAACACACAGCAATCTCTATGATTTAGCGTTTTCAGCGAAAATAGAGCACTTTTAGCGTAAATACAGTGTATTACTATTTTTGATACTATTATTATTACTATTATTATTATTATTATTATTATTCTTATTATTATTATTATTATTATTGATATTATTATGATTCTTATTATTATTATTATTATTATTGATATTATTATGATTTTTATTATTATTATTATTATTATTATTTCATGCGATCATATCCTTGCTCACAAACCTTCCTAAAGCTTCGACACCATTTGTTATAGCCGTGGCAGCATCATTATTAGCTGGTGCAGCAGCTTGAGTCAAAGCAGGTTCATCTAATGTAACAACGTCAACAGTAGGTCCCTGAATTTCAGATATGGCATCAAACTTCGGAGTGGCAGCAAGCTCCAAAGCCGGCATGGCAGTAGCTTCCGAGGCTGGAAGGGAAGATTCTGCCCGGATAGAAGTTAGCCCAACTTCATCAATTTCCTCAACAGCAACAACCTGTTTATCCTTTCCCCTACTTCCCCCCTCACCACAATTGGATAGCTTGTTGCAAATAAATGGGTGATGCCCAAATTCTTTGCAATGAAAACAATAATTAGGAAAAGTTTCGTAAAGCACACTTTGATTGAATACCTTTTTTGAAGGTAGTCGTATAGGAAAAGAGAGTGGCGGTGGCTTTGAAACATCAACCTCGATAAGCACTCTAGCATATTCATTATTCATCCTCTCTTTAGTGATCTTGTCCGTAGTTATGGGTACTCCAACCATGGATGCCACCTCACTCATAGCTTCATCGTTCCATAGCTTCATTGGTAGTTTGGGGAATTTGACCCAAATCGGCACTTTGAGGAACTCTTCATCTTCAAAAGAAAAGTCTTCCGAAAGTTCTTTGAGCATAAGGAGTTTCCCAAAGACCATGTAAGGACCATCATGAAGAACTTTCATTCTATCCTCCTCATTTGTGAATTTAAAGATTACCCATCCCTTATTGTGGGATTTCACAAAACATTTCACACCCCATTTAGCTCTAAGATCATGAACTGCTTTGAGTCCGGGGAATTTCCCAGTAAAGTGCCCTACTAGGCAAAAACCCCACATTTCAACCATGGAAGGTAAAATGCGATCACCAAAGTCCAAAGTTGCTCCTTTGGGAGGAACGTATCTCAGTTTGATACCATGTGATGGGTCCCGATTATCCTTAAAAAGAGCACTCCAAGGTTCGGGATTTGTAGTCTTAGCCCCTACATTTACTGCTGCAGCAGTATCCTTAGCAGCAGGTGCTACAACCACTGCCCCAGTCTTTACTGCCCCAGCAGTAATTCCTTCATGCCTGATTTCAGCATTGGTCACAACCCCACTTTGTGCAGCATCTGCGTTTGGGTCCAAAACCATTGTCATTGCTCTCTGTCCAGATTGTATAACCTTCCCAGGAGGTGGGAGTTCAATAGCAGCAACATTTTTTCCATCAGCATTTGCCTTTTTTGTCTTCTTCAGTGAGAGTCCTGGCAGCAGGGCAGGGAATTCAGCATCAGAATCCTGCAGGACTGTGAAACTTGCCCTGGTGGTCCTTGGCTTGGTAGCTTCCCCAATAACCTGTGATTTTTTTCCAGACATGACAGTAAAATTCCGAAAAGAAACCAGATCGTAGGTCCTGACTATGAAATTCGGAAAATCAAAAGCAAACCATATGGGATACAGTCCACACTCGAAACCCAAACTTAAACAGAACCTACAACCAAACGACTCAGCAGTTCAAACGAAACAGAGCTCCAAAAAATTATGCGAATAAAAAGAACCAAAAAGTCATGGAATGGCCGCAGATTAACGTCTAAATACAGAGGCGAGCACGGAACTGTAATCAGATGAAGTTCCCAACAGAAACACCCAAAAACAAACCACAAATCACCGCTGACGTGAACAGTGAATCTGCGCTCAAACCCTCGTTTCTGCGATTTTTTTTGGCCCTCGTAATCCTTCTAAAACCAAATCCAAGTCTGGACGATGGTATTAGTAAAGACCCCTGACCAAGAACAGCAAGAATCACCACCTGATTAAACCCCACGAATCATCGGAGAACCAGCCTTCGTACGCGCAAAAGAGCTGGGAAAAATTTTCCCAGGAGAGAGAAGCTCTCAACTTTTTCAGGCTGGAATTTTTTTTTTTTTTTTTTTTTTTTTTTTTTTTTTTTTTGAGGCGTATTACCAGCGCCTGCAAACATTTACAACGAGTTTTTGAAAATATGATTTTTTGAAACCAGCGCCTGCAAACAAGTTTTAGAAAATGGTAAGATCTTTCCAACGAGATATTAAACGCTTTCAACGGCACAAAATAGAGCAAGATATGATCGCATCAAATCTACACGAGTTCGGAGTGAAATTAGAAACATTTGTGAATATATGGTTAATCTGTAACTTTTAATTAATGCATTGTAAATGAAGTTGGAACAATAGCTTTAGAGCTCCGATCTATCTTTCCAACGAGATATAATACGCTCCAAACGGATAAACACACAGCAAGATATGAGTGTCACAAATACTTAGCCTTATCTCTATGATTTAGCGTTTTAAGCGAAAATAGAGCACTTTTAGCGTAAATACAGTGTATTTTAGTAATTGGGGAATCATCCCTTGATATTTTGAATCCAGCGCCAGAAGACAAGTTTTAGAACTAGGTAAGATCGTTCCAACGAGATGTTAAACGCTTTCAACGGCAAAAATAGAGCAAGATATGTTCGCATCAAATTTTACACGAGTTCGGAGTGAAATCAGAAACATTTGTGAATATATGGTTAATATGTAACTTTTAATTAATGCATTGTAAATGAAGTTGGAACAATAAATTTAGAGCTCCGATCTATCCTTCCAACGAGATATAATACGCTTTAAACGGATAAACACACAGCAAGATATGAGTGTCACAAATACTTAGCCTTATCTCTATGATTTAGCGTTTTCAGCTAAAATAGAGCACTTTTAGCGTAAATACAGTGTGTTTTAGTACTTAGGCAATCATCCCTTGATATTTTGAAACCAGCGCCTGAATTTTGAAACCCGAGCCTAACTGAAGCAAGTTTTACGTTTGAGAGAGTCTCTCTCTAGCTCCCAGCTATTCGTAAAACTTCCCCTTCGGTTTCTTGCGTTTTTCTTCTTCCGCTCCCTCTGATTCATGCTTTCTTAGCTCAGATTTTAGCTACTCTACACTTCAATCTTCTTTGGGGTGCAGATTCTCTAAATTTTGAGGTCGGTTTTCATGTTTTTTGGACCTGGTTCGCTATCCTCCTCTTCGCGGTACTATTCATCCGGGAAGGTCAACGAAGTTTCCCATTGATTGGCTTGGCCATTCTTTGGTTGGAGACTTGTTCTGGGTTCCCCTTGTGTTGCTGATTAACTTTCTCAACTTTTTTTCATCATCCATCAAGGTTTGGTTTTTTCCGTACCTCCTCCAACGGTCATAAATCCGCCATTGGTACGGACGCTTCCTAGGTGAGTTTTGGGGTGGAAGTTCCTAGATCTCCTCCTCCTTTCTCATGCCTAAGAAGAAGAGCAACAAGAAGAAGAGGACTCTGGTCCCCCTAAAGTCCTCGGCTAGACTCAAAGCCAAAGCTCAATCTTTGGAGTTTGGGGATGAAGCTTCGGATACCACGCATTCAAGTGAAGGAACTATAGTTGCTCAAGGGGATGATATGGACTCCCAAGCCTCGGGGTCTAGCTTAAATGTAAACTTGGAACATGCTTCTAAGGTCAGCCTCCCGTCTTCTAGCTCGGACGAGGCTTCAAAATCCTCTAAGGAAAGCTCCCCCGAGGTAACCTCCTCTCCTATCCTTGGTGAATCCGTTTAAACTAATCCTCCTTTAAAGGAGATTGTTGAAAATGTTGACATTAATGCTCCTAAAAAGGGGATTGTTGAAAATGCCTTAATTGCTAGTATTGAGTGTGTGGGAGAAATTAATGCTTGTATGAGGGAGGGTGGTAACATTGATGGTGTTACCCCCCTTTTGGTGAAAACTCTCACGTGGTTATTAATGAACAACATGAGCACTCTAATGGCTCGGATGCTACTATTTCTCCTATTCTTGATAAGAATGGGACTTCGGATGTGATTGATACTATTGTGGAACAAAGCTTGAGTGATAACAATGCTATGATACCTTATGCCGTTTAAAGCGTTTAATATCTCGTTTGAAAGATCTTACCTAGTTCTAAAACTTGTCTTCAGGCGCTGGTTTCAAATTATCAAGGGATGATTGCCCAATTACTAAAATACACTGTATTTACGCTAAAAGTGCTCTATTTTCTCTGAAAACGCTAAATCATAGAGATAAGCCTAAGTATTTGTGACACTCATATCTTGCTGTGTGTTTATCCGTTTGGAGAGTATTATATCTCGTTGGAAAGATAGATCTGAGCTCTAAAGCTATTGTTCAAACTTCATTTACAATGCATTAGTTAAAAGTTACATATTAACCATATATTCACAAATGTTTCTGATTTCACTCCAAACTCGTGTAGAATTTGATGCGATCATATCTTGCTCTTTGTTGTGCCGTTGAGCGTTTAATATCTCGTTTGAAAGATCTTACCTAGTTCTAAAACTTGTCTTCAGGCGCTAATTTCAAAAAATCAAGTGATTATTGCCTAATTACTAAAATACACTGTATTTACGCTAAAAGTGCTCTATTTTGGCTGAAAACGCTAAATCATAGAGATAAGGCTAAGTATTTGTGACACTCATATCCTGCTGTGTGTTTATCCGTTTGGGGCGTATTATATCTCGTTGGAAAGATAGATCTGAGCTCTAAAGCTATTGTTCCAACTTCATTTACAATGCATTAATTAAAAGTTACAGATTAACCATATATAAACAAATGTTTCTGATTTCACTTTGAACTCGTGTAGAATTTGATGCGATCATATATTGCTCTATTTTGTGCATTGAAAGCGTTTAATATCTCGTTGGAAAGATCTTACCAAGTTCTAAAACTTGTCTTCAGGCGCTGGTTTCAAAATAGCAAGGGATGATTTCCTAATTACTAAAATACACTGTATTTACGCTAAAAGTGCTCTATTTTCGCTGAAAACACTAAATCATAGAGATAAGACTAAGTATTTGTGACACTCATATCTTGCTGTGTGTTTATCCTTTTGGAGCATATTATATCTCGTTGGAAAGATAGATCGGAGATCTAAAGCTATTGTTCCAACTTCATTTACAATTCATTAATTAAAACTTACAGATTAACCATATATTCTCAAATGTTTCTGATTTCACTCCGAACTCGTGTAGAATGTGATGCGATCATATCATGCTCTATTTTGTGCCGTTGAAAGCGTACAATATCTCGTTGGAAAGATCTTACCGAGTTCTAAAACTTGTCTTCAGGCTCTGGTTTCAGAATATCAAGGGATGATTGCCTAGTTACTAAAATACACTGTATTTACGCTAAAAGTGCTCTATTTTCGCTGAAAACGGTAAATCATAGAGATAAGGCTAGGTATTTGTGACACTCATATCTTGCTGTGTGTTTATCCATTTGGAGCGTATTATATCTCGTTGGAAAGATAGATCGGGGCTCTGAAGCAATTGTTCCAACTTCATTCACAATTCATTAACTATAAGTTACAGATTAACCATATATTCACAAATGTTTCTGATTTCACTCCGAACTCGTGTAGAATTTGATGCGATCATATATTGCTCTATTTTGTGACGTTGAAAGCATTTAATATCGCGTTGGAAAGATCTTACCGAGTTCTAAAACTTGTCTTCAGGCGCTGGTTTAAAAATATCAAGGGATGATTGCCTAATTACTAAAGTACACTGTATTTTTGCTAAAAGTGCTCTATTTTCGCTGAAAACGCTTAATCATAGAGATAAGGCTAAGTATTTGTGACACTCATATCTTGCTGTGTGTTTATCCGTTTGGAGCGTATTATATCTCGTTGGAAAGATAGATCTGAGATCTAAAGATATTATTCCAGCTTCATTTACAATGCATTATTTAAAAGTTACAGATTAACCATATATTCACAAATGTTTCTGATTTACTCCGAACTCGTGTCGAATGTGATGCGATCATATCATGCTCTATTTTGTACCGTTGAAAGCGTTTAATATCTCGTTCGAAAGATCTTACCGAGTTCTAAAACTTGTATTCAGGCTCTGGTCTCAGAATATCAAGGGATGATTGCCTAATTACTAAAATACACTGTATTTACGCTAAAAGTGCTCTATTTTCGCTGAAAACGCTAAATCATACAGATAAGGCTATGTATTTGTGACACTCATATCTTGCTGTGTGTTTATGCGTTTGGAGCGTATTATATCTCGTTGGAAAGATAGATCGGAGTTCTAAAGCTATTGTTCTATCTTCATTTACAATGAATTAATTAAAAGTTACTGATTGACAAGATATTCACAAATGTTTCTGATTTCACTCCGAACTCGTGTAGAATTTGATGCGATCATATCTTGCTCTATTTTGTGCCATTGAAAGCATTTAATATCTCATTGGAAAGATCATACCGAGTTCTAAAATATGTCTTTTGGCGCTGGTTTCAAAATATCAAGGGATGATTGCCTAATTACTAAAATAGACTTTATTTACGCTAACAGTGCTCTATTTTCGCTGAAAACGCTAAATCATAAAGATAAGGCTAAGTATTTGTGACACTCATATCTTGCTGTGTGTTTAACCGTTTGGAGCGTATTATATCTCGTTGGAAAGATAGATCGGAGCTAATAATAATAATAATAACTACAATAATAATAATAATAATAATAATAATAATAATAATAATAATAATAATAGTGCTCTATTTTCGCTGAAAACGCTAAATCATAGAGATTGTTGTGTGTTTATCCGTTTGGAGCGTATTATATCTCGTTGGAAAGATAGATCGGAGCTCTAAAGCTATTGTTCCAACTTCATTTACAATTCATTAATTAAAAGTTACAGATTAACCATATATTCACAAATGTTTCTGATTTCACTCTGAACTCGTGTAGAATTTGATGCGATCACATCTTGCTCTTTGTTGTGCCATTGAAAGCGTTTAATATCTCGTTTGAAAGATCATACCGAGTTCTAAAACTTGTATTCAGGCGTTGGTTTCAATAAATCAAGGGATTATTTCCTAATTACTAAAATACACTGTATTTACGCT